CGTGTCATGTGCGTGTCAGATTTAATCGGGTTGTTGTGGAAACTACAGTCATTCTGTAGCTCAGTCACTCTTGAAAAGCTGCTGCTTATCAGTGGAAACTAATAGATAAAAGAAGAGTTTCTCCCTCGGTGTGTTCTATAGTTTTTCTATGAAGCCAGGAAATCATAATAGAGAAAAAAAATATTTTGTTCTTCCGTGTCCTAGGGGAACTTAAAACCTTTGTTTATTTGGGAAATCTAAACAAAAGTTTCATCTTATGGTACAGTTGTACTACAGGAGGACGTATGGACCTTTCTTACCAATTCTGTATTCTAAACAGCATCTAGCCCAGTGCTTTGTACATTGTATATATTTAGTAAATATTTATTAGTGATGATAAGACGATAAATTGAGTATTTTAATTTGGCTATGTGCAGAATTATTCCATTTGTATGCCTCTTCATTTCTTTCTGAAATTTCTTCTCTCTTGAAGGCATCAGAAAAGAGTATTTGTAGGATACTTTCACTTAGAAAAGACAACCTAGAGTAACTCTTTACTTAGTGAATTTGTCTGCTTCACATCTCAGAGTATTTGGACAAAATTAATTCAGACAGGAAGTGTAATGCAATACTTTTATCCTTTCAGTTTTTTATTGAATTCTTTTCTTTCTGAGAGTTTGGTTTTTGGGTTTTTTTCCCCTAAATTTGCTACAACAGCTCTGTGAAGTAGTTAGCCAGAGAGGTGATGGCCAGTTCACAGTAGGGTACATGAAAGCAAGATAGATGAACAAACTGGACACCCATAAGTCCCTGAAGTTACAGGAGAGCTTTGAACAGAGTGCAGAGCACTGCTCTGGCCGGCTCCACCTACCACCCTTCCCTGTGTACTGAACCGCTCAGAAGTGGTCAGATAGTTTCCATGTCAGGGTCAAAACTTGCCTGACTGCTCATGGCCAAACAGACTTTGAAGTTTAAAAAAAAAACAACAAAAAAAAACGCAAACACCAGTGTATTCTTGAGAAAATAAGTTGCCCTGATTTCTCTTAATATAGCTCCTTTTTATGACATAGGGGCCTTGACGGACAGCAATTATACCGTCCACTGAGATCGACCTTATCCATTACAATTACCTCTGGAAATTGTGAACTTTTCTGTCACATATGCAAAATTGTTGTTTTCCCTGAAGCAAAACACACTGTAGTGGTTCTGTACTGGCGAATCCAATTGCATTTTGCCTATAATTGGTACTAGAGGTGGTGAGTTTAACTACCTGTCAGGAGTAGACTATGATGGAATCATAGGATTTGGGGGTTGGAAAAGGCCTGTAGCCTTCTCTCTTTCAGGCCATGAGAGAGAGGTTTTATAAATGCTTCTTTTTGTTGATGTTTTTTATATGATGGTGGCTGAAAAGTACTCATTGCCATCACTAAAGGAGGAATGTGCTAGGATTCGATTATACAAACAAATATTGACTTGAACTCTCATTTCTCAAATATTGAACTTAAATGAGCACCAGGTGTGTTAGACACTGGGGAAGAAGGGGACTGTGGTTTCTGCCTTAAAAGAGCTGTCAATCCAAGGGGTTGGTGGTGATCAAAGTTGTCAGGAAAGTTGGCCCATATAAAGGATATAAAAGAGATGCCTTGCAGCTTAGTCTAGATTGCCGCTAGTCATCTGCCTTATTTGCCGAACACCTGCTCTGTGCCAAGCATGAAAAACGAGGAAACCAGATATTGCAACTTAAAGAAAAACCTTTGACCTTGCCGTGCTCCTGTTCCCTTGCTGAAAAATGGGAATAATACCTTCCTCACATGATTGTTATGAGAGCTAAATACGATATTATAAGATTGTGTTCAAGATTAAATGGGTGTAAATATATGTAGAGTACTAGGCAAATGTAAAGGACAATCTTAATTTTTCACAAAAAAATGAGTTGCTTTTCATTCCTGATAGTTAAACGTAGGGTTTTTTTTTTTTTTTTTGTGGTACGCCGGCCTCTCACTGTTGGGGCCTCTCCCGTTGCGGAGCACAGGCTCTGGATGCACAGGCTCAGTGGCCATGGCTCACTGGCCTAGCTGCTCTGCGGCATGTGGGATCTTCCCGGACCGGGGCACGAACCCGTGTCCCCTGCATCGGCAGGCGGACTCTCAACCACTGCGCCACCAGGGAAGCCCTAAACGTAGGTTTTGATCTTCTGAGGTGTCATCACTGGGTGGCTATAGCCAGTTGTCTTTACAAATTAGGAGAAAAGATGAATGACATTCATATACAATCCCACGAAAGTAGTATACTTCCCTAACTAAATTCTTATTAATTTGAGCTTCTCCTTCTCTTACTCCCTCTTATGTAATAAAGAAAAATAAGTGTGCAAAAGCAGGAAGTTAAGAGATGTATAAAATTTATAAATTATATAAAATTGTGCTGGATTATACATTTGGTTATACAGGAAAATAGTGTTCTGAAGTGTAAGAACTCCGCTTTAGAGATGAATGCAGGGCGAGTCACCGTCTCTGAGTTTTTGTTTTCTTCATCTTTAAAATGATGATACTGTGTGTCAGACCACTCTGCTAATAAGCATTTTACATGAATTATCTCCTTTGATTCTCAGTAGCACTATTTTACAGGTGAAGAAGCTGAGGCATAGGAAGTTTCAGTAACTTTCTTGAGGTTTCACAAGTCATCAGGTGTTTGGGGTTGAATTGTGTCCCTCCCACCCAAATTCATATGTTGAAGTCCCAACCCCCCAGTTGGGCGTTGCCTCCAAATGTCACCATATTTGGAAATAAGGTCTTTAAAGAGGTGATTAAATTAAAATGAGGCCATTAGGGGGGACCCTAATCATATGACTGGTGACCTTATAAGAAGAAAAAGAGACATAAGGGATGTGCTCACACAGAGGAGAGGCCCATGTGAGGACAGTGCAAGCCAAGGACAGAGGCCTCAGGAGAAGCCAAACCTACCGACACCTTGACCTTGGCCTTCTAGCCTCAAGAACTATGAGGAAATTAATTTCTATTGTTTAAGCCACCCGGTCTGTGGTATTCTGTTACAGCAGCCTGAGCAGTCTAATGCATCAAGCGATAGAGCCTGGATTTAATAAATTCTGACCAGTCACTTAACTAGTTTTGTAACTTTGGTCTAATGACTTAACCTCTCTGTGCCTCAGTTTTCTCAACTATAAAATGGCAATAATTGAACATACCCGTACGGTTGTGAGGATTAATTAATTGACAAATGTAAAAGTTGGAAGAGGGGCCACATAGTGAGTACTCAGTGATGGTTACTATATGCATAGAAGAATGTATGTTCGTCTCTTGTTGTGAGACCTATAGTTTTTCTGCTTTTTGTATACTCAGTATCCTAGCACCTAGAAAAATACGTGGAATGTTTTAAGATGCCACAGATTTCATTTTCTGCTTTTTCATTTGGAACTTTTAAAATTCACAGCATTAATTGGTATGATTGGGATATGATAAAATGCACATACTTCAAGTGTCTAATTTGGTAAGTTTTGTCATAATACATGTTGAATTTAATTGAATAAATGCTCTTGATCTGTTTACATTGCAGCATACCATATTCTAATGCCATTAGAAGGTGGAAGCAGCCAGTGCTCAACAGAGCCCTTAGGTCAGACAGATCCTCCCCCTTTCGATTCAGATTTATGGAGCAAATATCAAAAGGCTCTATGGAACTTGGCAGAATTCAGATTCCTGTAGTCCAGCCCTGAGGATTCTGATTCTGTGGGTCTGGTCTAGGACTTAG